CTATGGGGTGTCCTGGGGTGTCTATGGGGCACCTTGGGGTGTCTATGGGGTGCCCTGGGGGGTCCTGAGGGATCTATGGGGCACCTTGGGGGTGTCTATGGGGTCTCTCTGGGGTCTCTCTGGGGTGTCCTGGGGTGTCTATGGGGCGCCCTGAGGGATCTATGGGGTGGCCCTGAGGTGTCCTGGGGTCTCTATGGGGTGTCTGTGGGGCATCTTGGGGCGTCTATGGGGCGCCTTGGGGTCTCTATGTGGTGCCTTGGGGTGTCTATGGGGTAGCCCTAGGGGGTCCTGAGGGATCTATGGGGCGGCTGTGGGGCACCCTGGGGTGGCTATGGGGCGCCCTGGGGTCTCTATGGGGCGCCCTGGGGGGTTCTGGGGTCTCTATGGGATTTCTATGGGGCACCCTGGGGTGTCTATGGGGCACCCTGAGGGATCTATGGGGTACCTTGGGGTGTCCTGGGGTCTCTATGGGGCGTCTTGGGGTGTCCTGGGGTGTCTATGGGGCACCTTGGGGTGGCTATGGGGTGCCCTGGGGGGTCCTGAGGGATCTATGGGGCATCTGTGGGGTGTCCTGGGGTGTCTATGGGGCACCCTGGGGTGTCTATGGGGTGGCCCTGGGGTGTCCTGGGGTGTCAGTGGGACACCTTGGGAGTCCTGGGGTGTCTATGGGGTGCCCTGGGGTCTCTATGCGGCACCCTGAGGGATCTATGGGGCACCTATGGGGGGTCCTGGGGTGTCTATGGGGCACCCTGGGGTCTCTACAGGGCACCCTGGGGTCTCTATGGGGTGTCCTGAGGGATCTATGGGGCATCTATGGGGTGTCCTGTGGTGTCTATGGGGCACCCTGGGGTCTTTATGGGGCGCCCTGGGGGGTCCCAGGGTCTCTCTGGGGTCCCTATGGGGCACCCTGGGGTCTATGGGGCACCTTGGGGTCTCTATGGGGCACCCTGGAGTCTCTATGGGGCACCCTGAGGGATCTATGGGGCACTTGTGGGTCCCGGGGGGGTCTCTCCTCTCTCTCCCCTCCCCCCTCCCTCCCCTCCCCCAATAAAGGACTTTTTTCGGGACTCAAAAGCCTCGTTCTTGGGAGGGGCCTGACCCCAAAACTTCCCCAAATTCCCTCAAAGCTTCCCCAAATCTCCCCAAATCCCCCCAAGACTTCCCAAAATCCCCCCAAAACTTCCCAAAATCCTCTCAAAACCCCCCCAAAAACCCAAATCCTCCCCAAAATCCCCCCAAATCGGCCCCAAATTACCTCAAAAATCCCCCAAAATCCACTCAAAACTCCCCAAATCCCCCCAAATCCCCTCAAAACCCCCCAAAACTTCACA